GAAATTTAACTATGGGAGGTGAATGCACAGTGTAAATACATATATACCTTACTATTAAAGTGTACAGCTGAAACTTATTGAATTTCATTAACCAATGTCACCATAAAAAAAAAATAAATGAATGAATTTAAAATAAATAAATAAATAAATAAATAAATAAATAAAGTTAGAAGACCATGAGTATGTTTACATAGTTCTGAAAAATAGAAAGTGAGAGCTAAGTATGTTATATTCAGATAGGTGTTATTCTCATATTGGGGCAGTAAACAACTATTGTTAAACATGATCTTAAGGAATTCAATATCCACAAATTTTTATTGAATTAAAATTCCATATGATATATCTAATTAGAATGAATCGAATATGTTTTGGAATAAAGAATCTCTGAATAAATGGTGAAATTTAATTCTCTTAAAATATAACAAAGAGACTAAATAAATGTGAGGTAAGTAAGTGCCATAAATATTGACAAATCAAAATTTTAAGTAATACACAGGAAATGAAATAACTTCCAGAGTTGAGTTCAACTGATAGTGGCTGAAATTAAAACACATAGTTAAAAATTAACACTCAGAAAAACAAACAACAAAAACCAGACCAAAAAATAAAGCCACTCAAAAGTATATATACATATATTAATTTTGAACCTTGGTGAGATATTTCAGAGAAAAAAATTAAGATATAATTAGATATATCTAAAGTTCAATATAGTTTAAAATTTATTTCAATTTATCTTTAGCTAAATTAATAAAATTTAAGATTTTTCTTAAAAATTCACACAACTGATATTTACAAAGTTATTAATTATTCTATCTCTCCTCACTGTACATATGCAAACGTAATGAATTAGTATGCTCTCAGTGTTAAGGATGGTTATTTTTGAATGATTAATATTGGGTAAATTATCACTTCCATTTTTGTACTTACTGAATGTGTATAATATTTAAAGAAGCATATGTATATTATAAAATAAAACAGATAAACCAGAATAAATATCTGAGTGTAATCATTAACATTATTTTAATAAGACATTGGTAGGCATTTGAAATCTGAGTGTTTTTGCAATTTTCACAAATAAATTTGTGAAATGAAATAATAAAGTGGTTTTTATGTAGTTATTTTATGGTTTTATTTAAAAGTATACCAATTAGGGAGGGAAAAAATGGTAGTTAATAGAGGCTCTGTTCATCCCTCTGGCGACCAAATCAAAGTTGTAACAGAAACAAGGAGCAAGCAGCAAGGAAAAATCACCTGGGATCTTGATGAACAAGCCATACAGCGAGGAAGAAATCCAAGAAATCACACTGTATGAGCAGAAAGAAAGATGGAGAGAGGACGCAGGGCTGCTGGATCTCAAGCGGCTGAGAGAGATGGTGGCTGTGGCAGCAGCAAATGCCTCGTAAAGGGGCCGTGTTCATGAGTGGATTTTCGCGGTGACAGATCTGCTCACTCGGAGCACCACTGCCCATTTGGCTATGCGCAGGGGGGACTAAGGACTTATAGGGCGACATTGTCAGAGCGAGGGATACAGACATGCCGGTGGTATCCATTGTTTCTTGTTGAGCCCTACCCCTCCCAGTGTACTTGCTGAGCAGCACCTAGACTCACACTGGAAGCAACTGGCCTCAGTTTCTGGTGTGGCCTTTTGAGGCAACTGTAAGCACAGCATCTGTGGATTGCTTGCTGAATCAACAGGTGGCCCCGATGGGGCAGAGGCTTGGGCTAAGTTTGGTCTGCAGCTGACCCCCTCTCTGGACTGTGCCACTGGACACCTACTTCACAAATTCACACTAATAAGTCTGGGAGACTTAGGAACTTTGCTTAGTACATAGAAACAGACACAAAAAGGCAGACAAAGAAGCAGAAACCATATGAGAGAATGGAACAGAGATCCAGAAATAATGGAGTCAAGTAACCTAACAGATGCAGAGTTCAAAACACTAGTAATAAAGATACTCAATGAACTTTTGGGAAGTGTAGATAAATCCAGTAAGAACTCCAACAAAGAGATAAAAAACATAAAAACAGAAATGGAAATTATAAAAGGGAAGCAGTCTGAAATGAAGAACACATTATCTGAGATGAGAAGTATATTAAATGGAATATACAAAGGAATAAGCAAAGTGAATAAAGAAGAGGATCAAATGCCCTCTCTAGAGGACAGGAAAGCCAATCAGAACACTCAATCAGAATGGCAAGAAAAAAGATGCCAAGACTATAAAAAT